GAAAGCAGCCCTTGGCGTCTTTAGATGGAATCAGACCAGAGAGCCAGTTCCAGAAACCCAGAGCCAATTCAGAAAGCTCGTCCTTAATATTCTGTTGCTTTAGAACAATTGCCAGTGCCCAAGTCTGTATGAGTCAAGGCTCCCCAGACAAACAGAACCGAGAGGGTGTGTGTGGGGGGGGGGGGGAGATTTATTACAGAAATTGGATCCACATAATTGCGGAGACCAAGAAGTCGTATGATCTGCTACTGGAGACCCAGGAAGGCCAGTGATGTAATTCGGTCCAAAGGCCTGATGACGGGGAGGGGGGAACGATGGTAGAATCCCAGTTTGAGTCCCAAACCCCAAGAGCCAAGGACGCCGATGTCCAAGGACAGGACAGGATGGACGTCTCAGCTCAAGCACGGAGAACGAACCCATCTCCCTCCACCTTCTCGTTCTTTCCAGGACGTCAGCAGACGGTTCGATGCCCACCCACACTGGTGATCTTTACTGAGTCCTCTGAGTCAAACCCTCATCTGTCCCCGAGACACCCTCGCAGACACACCTGGAAATCGTGTTCCACCAGGCATCTGGGCAGCCCACGACCCAGCCCAGGCGGGTCACACCAGGGAGACTTTATCACCCAAACGGGGATACTTCAAGAGGGAAAGGGAGCGCTGTTGATAATTCTTCCAGGACAACAAACACAGGAAGGTAAGTCCCATGTCAACTGGGGCGCGTGGTCACAGAGCCGACAACCGTCCCTGGTCCAAAGGCCGAGGTGCAGACCTCTGGCAAATCCAGCGGCAGAGGAGAGAGGGGAGGCTGGGGGCCCCAGTCGGTCACACTGGCCGCGCGTGACCCTCCCCCCTCCAGCGGACAGGTGTTCAGCAAGGGAGAGCCCCGGGCATACCTGGTGGTTTCACATTAACCCAAAGAGGGCAGAGCGCAAAACTCAGGTGCTTTTACAAGCAGAAAGAAGACATTTCAGACGCTGGGTCCTTGCTCTCTGTTGCTCCAGCTGCAGACCCTTCCCGCTCCCTCTCCTTCCTGAGTTGAGGGTCTCTGCCAGAAATGTTGGGACTCTGCTCCCGCCTTCCTGCCGCCACTAGAGGGACACCTCAGTGCCCTGACCCCCAGACTCCACCAAGAGGCAACTGGCTGTTGAGAAGGACGAAGGTTCCCAAGACTAGTGCCTTCAGCATCAAGAGTGAGCCTGAAGGCATCTTTGCCACCATCGGGCCTGGGAGGGGGAACCATCTGCCACCAGGTGGTCTCTTATGACAGGCGGGTTCAGCGAGGGGCCCAATCGCAGAGGCCTGCAGGCCCTGTCAGAGGGGACGCAGAACATGCTCCCTAAACTGCGCGTGTTTCTGGCCGTGAAGGGCTGGGCTCTGGGGCGCCCTCTCCTCCCTGTGCCTCAGAGATCCAGCCTGGAGCGCACCTGTCCCTGCTGCGTGTCTCGGAGCCCCCGCAGCTGGAGGGGCCTCCCTGCAGACACTGACAATTGCTGTGGGGCCCGGCTCTGAGCCCAGATGCAGGGCGTCCAAGGGAGCAAACCTTTAAGCAGGGGACACAGGCGGCGGTGGCAGATCCTTTCCTTCCCCTGCCCGCAGAGGGACCAGCCCCCTCCCCCTCAGCTTGGGAGGGGGAGGAGGCAGGAGCCTTCCAGATGTTAGGAAGGGGAGGCCAGGGTGCAGCGGGGTGCAGACCCAGCAGGCGCAAAGCCCTGAGGACACGCATGCGCAGCAGAGGGACAGAAATGCGCAAGGGCCGGAGGGCTTTCGAAGAAAGGGGTACTGGGGGGATAAGGAGAAACGGGTTCTAGGAAGCGCTGGGGGCGCTCCAGACGCGTGTCAAGCAGCCTGGGGTGGAAATTGCCAAATTCCAAGTTTGGGGAGAAGCCTGGGAGGGGTGCCCCCCCAGTTTCCAGTTCCCCCCTAAATCTCAGCCTGGGGTATCTTGCTGTCGGGGGTAAAGTAGGAGCAATCAGAGGGGAGGAAAGGGCCGGGTGGAGGGACGTGGGAAGGAGCTCCCAGACCACATGAGCGGCAGGCAAGAGAGAGGCGGACTGGAGAGAGGGGTCCGGGGGTGGGGGAGGGGAAGGCTGGAACAGAGACGGGGGAGAGACAGAGAGGCAAGAGGAGAGAATCCGAGAGACCAAAGCTGAAGGAGACCCAGAGGTAGCAGCAAAGGGAAAGGGAGAGAGACAGACTAGGAAAGAGGAACGAAGGTATGGAAGGGTGGGTGGGTGGGCAGATGGGCGGGCAGATGGGTGCTGGAGTGGTTGGATGAATTCCAATGAGTGCCTTTCTTGCTGTAGCAGCTCCAGGGGCCTGACCGTTCACAAAGTCTGCTTCCGAGGGACCCCCCCCCCCCCGCACCAATGGTAGACCTGGAGCCTGGTCCCACAATCCCAACGCCGTGCCTTTCTTGACTCACTGTTCTTGCCGTAAAAGAGGTTCGTTTTTCCACCTGCCGGGGGTGTGGAGTGGAGGGGAGATTATCTGAATGCCTCTGAACATCGGCTGCGTCGTAGGCCCTCAGTCAGGTGGGTGCATGGAAAACTGTATTTGTAATTGAGATGTGGTTTACGTATCCTAAATTCACCATGTGGAAGTGCACAACTCAGTAGTTTTTAGTATCCTCACAAGATTGTGCAGCCATTACCACTATCCAGTTCCAGAACATTTTTTTATCACCAAAGAAACCTCATACCCATTAGTGGCCACCCCCCTATTCCCCGCTCCCCAGGCCCTGGCAGTCCCTATTCCGCCTCCTGTCTCTCTTCTGCTCATTTCTTTCTTTCTTTGTTATTTAGTGCTTACTTATTTTGAGAGAGAGAGACACACACACACGTGGAGGGACAGACAGAGGGGAGGGGAGAGAGAATCCCAAGCGGGCTCCAAGCTGTCGGGGCAGACCCCTACTCAGGGCTCAGTCCCACAAAATGTAAGATCATGACCGGAGCCCAAGTCAGACGCTTAGCCGACTGAGCCCCTCCGCTCATTTGTTTGTGAATGGAACCACACAGGCAGTGGCACTTTGGGTCTGGCTTCTTTGACTCTGCAGTGTTCTCGAGGTTCATCATGTAGCCTAAGTATGTCCTTCCCCTTTACCGTCAACTCAGAGTCCATTATACGGATGCGTTACATTTTATTTGTCCATTCATCGGTCCGTGGATATTTGGGTGGTTCCCACTTTTTGACCGTTGTGGTGGTGACGCTGCCGTGAAAAGCCATGGCAAGTTTTTTGGTGAGATGCGTTTCCACTTCCCTTGGGTATGAGCCCAGCTGTGGGCTTTTTGAGGAATTGCTAGACCGTTTTCCAAGGTGGCCGCACCATTTTGCATTATGAGGATTTGTTTTTTACTATTTATTGATATCCCTGCGATGCTCTGCAAAGGTCTTGAGGAAGCTTACCCTCATACCTAAAACAGCAGAAAATGGAAGAAGGAAGGAAATGTTGGTTATATATGGAAAGAAATATGGACACGTTGGCGAGAATGGCAAATGGAGTGGGTTTTAGCAAAGGGATCAGCTGCCTGCATGCTGCCCTGTGGGCTCTTCCCACCCCCACCCTCCCAGACATCAGATACTCCATCCAAGTCAGGCACCTTCATTCCCCCCACCGCCACACCACCTCCCCCGCCCGGCCTTACCCCCCAACCCCCGGCTTGGGGAACCTTGGACAAGCTCTGCTCTACTCATCCTAGTGGCCACTAGAGGGCGCGCCCGCCATTCTCCGAGACGCACCTTCCTGGACGCGCTTGGTTTCTGAGTTCCTCTCTTTCCAATGTCGCCAGCAGAGCTGATCTCTAGTGCTCACCCAAAAGCTCCCCAGGGGGACAGTGACAGCCTCAGACTCTTAACCTCAATTAGCACGTGGACAAACGAGAGGGCGGGTGAGAATCTAACAGCTGGAGGCAAAGCTCGCCCCAGAGCAGCCTGGCCTTGAAACCTGTCTGTGGCCGCGCCGATGACCTTGAGCGTATGTGTCCATCCACTTCTAGAAGGTGCTGAGAAGCAGGGCATGAAATGGGGGCCGGGACTGTTCTCGGAGAAGTCGTCTCCGGTTTGGTCACAGCGCTGGGCTCCTGGCCTCCCGGATGCACCTCCCTCCGGGACCACCCACAGGGCTGAGTGCCTGCCCCCCAGGAGTCGGTTCCACTGGGCCCTTTGCAGGGAGATTTTACGCGTGTGGAGAGACTGTGAAAGTCTCACGGATTTTGACGATAAAAGACTTCCTGGAATTTGATCATTTCAGTCCTAGACCCCTGCAGAGTACTAACTGATTTTCTTCTGACTTGGCTTTGGAGGTTGAGAATGTCTGTCGTCAGCTTTCGGGAGGGAAGGCAGATTCTCAGGGGCCAGGAGACAAACACACACGCACACAATTGCTCAGTGCGTCTGCTTCAGATTGCATCGTCTTTGTCAGCCAAGCCCCACGCGGCGACTCTTTTTAAGGGCTGCTACTTCGCTCTTAAAAATTTACCAAGTAAAATCCATGTAATATAAAAGTCATCATTTTGCTTACTTCTACTTTTAGAACATTCGATTGTTTAATTTTTTAAAATTTTAATGTTTATTTATTTTTGAGAGAGAGAGAGACAGAGCACGAGCAGGGGAAGGGCAGAGGGAGAGGAAGACGCAGAATCCGAACCAGGCTCCAGGCTCCGAGCTGTCGGCACAGAGCCCGACGTGGGGCTTGAACCTGTGAACCGTGAGATCATGACCTGAGCCCAAGTCGGAGCCTTAACTGACTGAGCCACGCAGGCGCCCCTATTTTTATTTTTTTTTTAATTTTTTTTCAACGTTTATTTATTTTTGGGACAGAGAGAGACAGAGCATGAACGGGGGAGGGGCAGAGAGAGAGGGAGGCACAGAATCGGAAACAGGCTCCAGGCTCTGAGCCATCAGCCCAGAGCCTGACGCGGGGCTCGAACTCACGGACCGCGAGATCGTGACCTGGCTGAAGTCTGACGCTTAACCGACTGCGCCACCCAGGCGCCCCAGGCGCCCCTATTTTTAGAACATTCTTTACTCAGTGTTCAGCTTAAAAGAACTGTCACCAAAACTCCTTTGTATTTTCTGTTTTCTTTCAGTTGTATTGAGATACAATTGACCTACAGCCCTAAATAACTTTAAAGCACACGGCATAGTGACTTGACCTACATATATATTGTGAAATGATCACCGGAGTAAGTTTAGCATCCATTGTTTCACAGAGATACGGAGAAGAGAGAGACAATGTTTTTTCCCTGTGACGAGAACTTTTAGGATCTACTCTCTTAGCGAACCTTCAAATACGTCGTACAGCTGCATCAGCCTGGTCCTCACGTTGCGTATCACACGCCCAGGACTTACTTATCTTCAGGCTGGGTGCTCCCACCTTCGACCACCTTCCTCCAATCTCCCCACCCCCCACCCCCTGCCTCTGGTAACCACACATTTGATCCCTGTTTCATGAGTCTGGCTTTTTGTCTTAGATCCACACGTAAGTGAGATCACACGGTATTTATCTTTCTCAGCCTGACGCATTTCACTCAGCATGATGCCCTCAAGGTCCGTCCGTGTTGTCACAGATGACAGGATTTCCTTCTTTTCCGTGGCCGAAGAGTATTCGACTGTATACCCACCACACGTCCTGTATCCACTCACCCGTCGGTGGACGTTTAGTTTGTTTCCATGGTTTGGCTATTGTGGATAAGGCTGCTATGAACGTGGGGGGGACGCAGATACCTCCTTGACATTGTGATTTCTTTTCCTTCAGATACACGCTGCATATATATTCGGATACGTGCTAAATCATGTGGTGGTTCTCATCCACTCAGTGCTGGAGGCTGAAAGCCCTCCTCTGAGACTGGGAACCAGACAAGGCATCCAATCCAGCCTCACTGCCCCTATTCGACATGGTCCTGCAACTCCTCATCAGAGCAATCAAGCAAGAAAAAATATAAAAGCACCAGCATTGGAAAGGAAGAAATAAGATTATCTCTGTTTGCAAGGGACATGGTTTTATAGGTAGAAAATCCTAAGGAGGCCACCCAAACTTGCGAGGTCAAACCAACTAAGTCAGCAAAGTCGCAAACACAGAATTAACCATCTTTAAACGTGCAGTTCGGCAAATTACACACACGCATAACCTCCTGCTGTCAACTCCGCCCTCCATCTCCAGAACTGTCTCATCCTCCCAAATGGAAACTGTCCCGGTGAAACAGTAACTCCCTCTTCCCCCTCCCCCCCGCCCCTGCCATCCACGCTTCCGTTGTTGTCCTACGAGTCTGACCCTTCGGGGGACCTCACCGAAGCCGGACTCAGACAGCGTTTGCGAGGCTTCTGTTTTTACCTCTGTTGAGTTCTTGTTGCTTATCTCATACCACGTCCTCAAGGTTCCTCCTTGCTCTGGCAAGTTCAAAATGTCCTCCCTTGTTAAGGTGGGAAATTTCCCGCTGTTTGGCTAAACCACGTTTTTCTGATCTTCTTGTCTGTTGACGGAGGCCTGGGCTGCTTCTGCGTTTTAGCTGTTGTGACTAATGTTGCAACGGACGTGGGTGTGCAGGTATCTTTGAGCCCCCCCCCTTCAAGTCTTTTCTCTCTCGATGTATATCCAGAAGTACAAATGCTGGCTCAAAGGGTAATTGTATTTTTAAGTTGTTTGAGGAACCCGCATACCGTTTCCCACGAGTGTGACAATTTACGCTTTATACAGTAGACTCACAGGTTGCATTGTACATTTTATGTTCGCCCCGACAGTGCACGAGGGTTCCAATTTCTCCACATCCCTGCCAGCACTTATTTTCTGGTTTTTGTTTTTGTTTGTATTTTCAAAATGCAGCGGGTGCGAGGTTGTATCCTGTTTTGGCTTGGCTTTCCCTACTGATGAGTGACATCATGCATGGATTCTTCTGAGAAATGTCCGTTCAAGTCCCTTACCCATGTTTGAACCGGGTTGTTTGTTTTTCTACCATTGAGTTTTAGGAGTTCTTTAAATATTCTGGAGACGAATCTCCTATCAGATATACGAGTTGCAAATATTTTCTCCACTTCTGTGGGTTGCCCATCAAACACCTTTGTGATTATGCTAATTTGTCTGCCTCTTACTCTCTTTTTCCCACTGGGGCTCAAGGGAAAGGAAGTGGCAGGAAGGGTGGGATTGAAAATTCCAATCCTCGGGCACTTGGATGGCTTAGTCTGTTAAGCGTCAGACTCTATCTAGATCTTGGCTCAGGTCATGATCGCACTGTGTGTGATTTCAAGCCCTGAGTCAGGCTCTGCACTGAGAGCTCAGAGCCTGCTTGGGATTCTCTCTCTTCCCCTCTCTCTGTCCTTCCCCTGTTGCACTCTCTCTCACTCTCAAAATAAATATAAAAAAAAAAAAAAAAAAAGAGAATTCCAACCCTCCATATGGCTGCCTTTAGGCACAGCTGGAACTAGGTGCTCAGACAATGCCAGCAGTCCCAATATACCTTCGTCTCTGGGACCCTTTCTCTTCCATGTTGCTTGAACTCTGAAGTGTGTGATGACTTCCAGAATCCCAGCCCATCCCTGTCAAGGCCAGTGGATTAAAAGGGCTTGTCTCTCCTAGTCCAGTCAAAGTCCCAAGTGTGGTGCCTCCCTGGACCAACTTTCCTGAACCAACCACCGAGGCCAGCTGAATGGACTATGTTGACCCGTCAGACTGGGTCATGCGCCCGCCCCTGGCATCAGGGAGGGTTCTTGGCTCCACCGGTGTTGAGGAGGGTAGCTGCTCTGAGGAAATTAGAACTTCTGTTACCAGCAGAGCGGGACAGAGGCTGCAAGACAGATGTTCATGCTTGTAAGTGGGCCTGGGAAGGCAGTGACCAGGGCCAACACCTGTCCTCTAAAACCCTAGCCCGGGGGGGGGGGGCCCGGCCAGGTGTGTGGGTACATGACGGCACCGTGATGGGGTGCACGCCCAGCAGAAGGGGCACACAGTGCGTGGGAGTGGAAGGGTGCACAAGCAGGAACCAAATGCATGGGGAGGAGAAGCAAGGGAGGCTTCAGAGAAGAGGCAATACCTAAGCTGGGTCTTGAAGGATGAGTAGGAGTTCACCAGGCCATGCCCAGTGGACTGGGCAGAGAACAAAGGCACCGACTCAGCAGCTGGGGGTTTGAATCCAGGCTCCTTCCCATCCTAACATCTTAGGACAAGTTACTTCGTCTCAGTTCTTTCCTCTCAAAAGGGGGGTGATCATAGGGGCTCCTTGCGGGAGCTGATGGAGAAGGACACGGGAGGAAGCCGGGGACGAAGTTCTCATCTGTACGGTGAAGATGGTAACTGCCGCCTCCTGGAGCAGTTGTCCTAACGGTGGTAGGAATATGTGCTTACACTGACACTGGCATCAGCTGCTAATTGTTGTTGCTATTGTTACAAAGTTCTGAAGACGAGGAGACGTCAGGACAGGAGATGCCAGAAGCAAGCAGCCATGTACCCCGAGGAGGAAGAAGGTGGGTGGGATGGCCCACAGCACCCAAGGCCAGCCACGTGGCCCGGGTCAGTTCCTCCCTCTCTGCCGCCCGCACCTCTGCATGTGTGAAATGGCCATGACTGCACCTCGTCATGGAGTTGCTAGGGTTTGACCGGGACGGCCCTGGGGGAGCTGCTCAGGGGAAAACACTGGGTGGTGGGGCTGGAGGGATGTTGTCCCCTTGCGGCTCTGAGGAGCTCTGCCTGTTCCACTGGGCCGGGGGGTCCGATGGTTGCAAGGACTTCTCCAGATGACTCTGGTGCTGAGGAGGGTCCTGAGCCCATCACAGACCAGAGACTCTGTGGCTTCAAAGGCAAAAGCAGCGACTGCGGGAGCCCTTTGAAGACCGGGGGGTGGGGGTGGGGGTTGTGACCGGCGGGGGCTCTCAGGGGGCACTTCTAGCTCTTGAGCTAGCTGGTGGCCTCAAGGGTGTCCCACATCCAGTATGCGTTAAACTAAACAGTCACGTTTCTTATTTTTCACGAAAGTAGACCATACGTACCACGGTGTGTGAGGGCAGCAATGACTTCTGCATCATTAGCAGGTGCACGGAAGGCGGCCACGGCGTCTCCCGCCCTGGGGAGAGGGGCGCTGGCACAGGTCTACGCTCGCCGTCCTCCCATTTCCCCTGGGGTCGGGTCCATTTCACGCCGCAGCACGCCAGCGCTCAGAGGGTCCCACGGCGGCTCTAAGTCAGCAGCCTCCTCGCACGGTGATTAACTGGCGGCTCCGCCTCCTGCCCGCAGTCCCTTTAACGCTTCCAGGGCGCCCCCGGCCCTGAGGGGCCCCCC